TGCTGGCATTACGGTATGAAACGTGGCTGGAGTGTGCTATCACTGAGCAAAGTATGGGAGGAAAGCCCCTTTTTGGGTGTGGGGTGTTCAAACTCTAAGCTGCAGGAGGGGGATGGGAGCAGCCCATAAATAACTTGACCTTCGCTCTTGCACAGAGACCACGTGGGACTCCATGCTGCTCTCGGGTTTCTGAGGTGCTCTTGGTTGAGCAGGTCTATGCGGTCCTTTCCTCAGACCAACTGGAAAATGACTGCAACACTTATAAAAACAAGAAATAAATGAATCTTCTGGAGCTGCAGAGTCCTACAGCTCCAAAAGCAACATAAATTTGTCAAGGGTCCCCATCACTCTCAAAGTGTAAAGAAACAGGATAGAGATAAATGTAGGGGAAAGTGAGAGATGTACTGCAAGGTTGTTATTTTGGAGTATGAATTTACCTTTTCATTAAAAACAAGGTCTTGGAGTTTGGAGAGAACCTGCACTTAGTTCTGGATCCTGTGTCTTTGCTGCCCTTTTTATTTACAGAATACACTGCAGAAAGCAGTTGTTATTTTAAAGACATGAATATTTTTTATCTGAGTGCTACTGCCTACCAGAGATTTTGGTATTTTTTTAAAATGTTGGCTAATTTTGTGTTTTGAGTAGGAAGCTTCAACTTCACACCAATTCTACACATGCTCCTCTTCTGCTATCCAGCAGTTTGGGCAAGATAAACCTGCAACTGAGATGTCCCTCCACTAATCTCTATGGCTTTATTCAGGATTTTATTATTGCTCACCTTACTGTGCACTTTGAGAAGACACGGGGAGTATCTCAAGTAGTTTAAAATGATTTAATCTTTAAAATATCACTGGGATGCAGGCAAGTGTCCCTATACATCCACCCAGCCCCAGTTTTTTATTTTGCTTTCTAACCAGTGAATAAAGCAGGGAAGGCAGGGCCAGGTGAGCTGCCCGCAGCGATCTCTGTGGGGAGCCTGCCTCTCCTCCGGACTGTGCTAGCCACCCCTGCTCCCGCTCCGGATGCCTTCCCAAATCCTCAGTCCCCTCCCGACACCCCTGTGCTGTTTGTCCCGCGCCACCCCAGCGCTCGCAGGAGAGGGGACACCCTTGGGCACCACCCTGTCTCGCCCACGCTTACAGTGGAAAGGAGCACCCAGGCAGCGTCGAGGGAGGAAAGTCTCTGAAAAGCAGCAGAATTAGCAACGTCTTGCATATCAAAGCAAGTCCTAAAGCAGGCAAAGCAGCAGCCAGGGAAGGCAGCGAACCAGCCCCACCATCCCCCCTTGTCCATCCATCCACCTCAGCACAAGGTGGGAGGCAGCAGGCAGCTCCAGCGCTGGCACCCTCAGCCTGTTTGATGGCTCATCCACCAGGAGCGACAAGGAGGAACAGTGCTTGGTATCATTCTGGGCATCTGACTGCCTGCCAGGCTTGCTCTTTAAAACAGGCTGTTAAACACAGATAGCTGTTGAATCAATACACTTTATTCTACAGCCTGTGCCCGGCAGCTGTCGATGCCACTTCTGCCGGCATGGGGTGGGCTGTGCCATTGTACACCAGGATGGATCTGGGCTACGAGGGAGAGGATACCAGCGCTGACTCCTCGGTGCCCGTCTCGGATGACTGTGAGAAAGCAGCCAAACAGGAAGACTTCAGAGACGGCGTCTCTGTGTTACCGCTGCCAGTCTCTCCTGCCAGCGCCAAACATGCATGTTTGCCAAGCACAGGGGAGAGTTTGGATATACTGCAGACGGTCAGTCCTTCGGATGAGATGTGAAAGCAGAGGCCTCCTCCACCAGCCCCGCAGAACCCGTCGCACATCCCGAACAGACTATGAAAATCAGCCGACATCCAGATCACCGTCTCCTCTTCCACCAGACAGCTTCTCATGCCCATCCCAAGGCTGTAAATTGCTGTGGATAATAGCTGTGACGTTTATCCGGACCGTGGCTGCCTATCTGTGCTTGCGCGGAGGGTCTGGTGCTTGATGGTCCCATTGGAGAGGTGGCATCTGGCTACTTGGAGCTCGTGTACTTGGTGACAGCCTTGGTGCCCTCTGAGACGGCGTGCTTGGCCAGCTCTCCCGGGAGCAGCAGGCGCACAGCCGTCTGAATCTCCCGGGAGGTGATGGTGGAGCGCTTGTTGTAATGGGCCAGGCGGGAGGCTTCTCCAGCGATGCGCTCAAAGATGTCATTGACGAAGGAGTTCATGATGCCCATGGCCTTGGAGGAGATGCCAGTATCGGGGTGGACCTGCTTCAGCACTTTGTAGACGTAGATGGAGTAGCTTTCTTTCCTGCTCTTGTGTCGCTTCTTATCGCCCTTCTTCTGGGTCTTCGTCACGGCTTTCTTGGAGCCCTTTTTGGGGGCAGAGGTGGACTTCGCTGGCTCCGGCATCCTGAGAGCTCTTTCTCTGGGTTTTGGAGCTGCTTGGAAAGAACACAAAAAAATCAAATTCTTTTTTATTCTTCTACAGTATAGTTTTACTGAAAGATGAGAGAGTCTGAGTTGCAGACAAGTGACATCTCTGAATCTGAGACAAACATCCCATGACCCCGTGCAAGCATTTTTGAACTGCCAGTGAGAACTCCTCTGGTTTGTGTACGTTTTTTTGTTGTCTTCAGTTTAAATCCCTGTAACACTGGCCTTGTAAACATCGCTGAACCCAGGCCTAGTTGGCATCTACTTAGTAAATACAGGCTGGGGGTGAACGTATTTCTGAGAAGAACATTGCAGTTCCAAAGGAAACACTAACTGCAGCATGGATTAAATTAAATCTTTCTGGAATGGGCTGGAAACTGTTGCAAGATATCACAGAAGCCACCTTTATATGAGACTGGTCAAAATGATTTTATATGGTTATTACAATCTCCAATAGACCCTTTGTTTTTTGCATGTAGGTAAAAGTTTATTTTGAGAGTGCCTGCATTTCTGCGGCTACTGTTTTACACCATGTATTCCAGTGGAACATAAAAATTATATAGTTTTAAGCTAGCTAGCTGAACTACTGGAATCTCTCTGTATTCATGTTAGCTAGTAAAAATACCAGAGTAGAAAAGCTCAGAGGAGGTGGCAAGAATCACCTGACAGAGAAACAGGAATGTGGATAGGAGGCAAAAATCAAAGTGCTTTTGGGCTACGTGTCAATGGAGAGAAGCTACATCGACTGAAATTGTTTCTTGCTATTTGGTGCTTTTTGCTTTTGGGAGAGCAGGCCTCCGCTGGGCAGTTTACATCAAAGATGCCCGATGTTCTCTCCGAGTTTTTCTTCATTAGGCCACAACCTGCAGAGCCCTGACCTGCAACTGACTGCTGTCATCCAGAAGTTATGTAAACCTGTCATAAAACTGGGTGCCTCCCCCACACTACACATTTACACGTGTTTTACTACGTGCATCAAGGGAATAACTCTGTTGTAACTAACTAAACAGTTTTGTGTTTCAGAGGACACTTTGAGTGCTCCCTTGAAAGGCAAGGCTTCTCCAGGCTTTGCTGGAGGATCAGCTTCCAGCATCACCCCAGGGCTTGGGCTTTTACTGCTCTGCACCTCCTTTGAAGATGACCTATGAATTACAGTCTGTTGCCCAAGAGAGACTAGAAGAGAAAAAAGAGCTTCAGGGCTGATGGCACATGGGAAAATGGATAGAAGTAAACAGGAGAGAGAAATCTCAGATGTAACATATGGTCTGCACACACAGAGCATCAGAGAGGGACCTAAATGGTGCCTGTGCCAAAGCGATGGCTGCATGCCTCTCCTCCTTTGGAAGGAATGAGATGCCACCCTCCATCCTGGCCTGGTCTCTCCACTATTGTCCGCATCTGCAATCAAAGCCAGACACAGCAGCTGTCTTGCAAACAAGTCTTTAAAAAGTTCCTGGTTGCTCCTTGTGGGAGCAGACAGCTTCCATGCTGAGGCTGGATTTACATGCCCACATCTCGGTAGATACCAGCTCCTGCTTCCAAACTGTGTGAGAAACCTTCACAGCTCCAAACCCTTGGTACGTGAGATGCTGCCTTCTACCTGCAGCAAGCACCAAGGCTGCTGCCGGCTGCTTTCCCCTGCGAGGCACCAAGGCTGGGCTCTGGCGGCCGCATGGTCTGGCAGGTGATGGGCAAAGGGCAACACTGAGCATTTCAAGTAGGGGTACGCCCAGCTGCAAGGGCAGGCTGGCACTGCTCGGGATGCTAGGGAATGGGGAGGCAATATCTCCACCACAGCCCTCCAAAATGCCCACCTGGCTAGAAGCAAAAGTTGGCACCAATGTCCTTAGCATTGAGATTTTGCTCAAGCAAAGCAATTTCTTCCTTGCCATTAATGGGAGTTTTGCTTTGTGAGGCCTGAGAGACCTGTTCAAGTTTCCTTTGCTTCATCTTGCAAAACCAAGTATTTTGTCAGTCCAAAATGGGATATTGTCTAACTAGGTGGAAAAGGCCAGCGCACAGGAAAACTTCATGTAGTAAGAGGCTGCAAGCATACCACTAACGCCTCCCTGCACCAAAACCTCAAACTGCTCATGACTAAAGCATACAAATATTAAAAAAACCCAACACCCAAACTGGGTAAATACATATAAACCCCTCTCAAATCCCTGGAATAACTAGCAATCTAACATCAGGTATGGAGGATAGGAAGAAAAAGAAAAGAAAAAAACAAACAAATGTATTGAAAGCTGTTGATGCTTTCTTCTAGTTGGCTTTGGTTTATGAACATTAATATCTTTTCCCAGTTTCAGGAAACTTGTAGTTGTAATGTATACCACCTGACAATCATAAACTAACATATTTTGCTGACTCCTTGAAGTTAAAGGAAAAGCAGTTTCATAGAAAGAGGAAGGGGATGGGCATGTTGTGAGAGTAGTTCTCCTTCAGGTGAACTCACCCCCTGGCAAAGCTTCACAGCCCAGTGAGCTGGTCTAGATGGAAAACCACAAAGATCATGCCCAGAGACACGTGGGATGCTCAGAGAAAAGTGGACTCTAAGACTCAGCATGGCAAAACTCTCAGTTTGAGCATATGAAAAACAGTGTCACAGAAATTCCAGAAATGTGCAGCTGGAAGGAGCCTCCAGAGCTCCACACTTTGCTTTGAGGGTACCCAGGCGTGGCCTCCTAGATCAGTTTATTACCTTTTCTTTAAAATCTCTAAAGACATGATTTTCACCGAACTATGTGCTTGACTCTGCCACGTCATCCCCTTTATTAATTTTTCCAGGTGTTCTGCCTAATGGAGGCAGGTGGTGGACTGCCCCGAAAGTCATGGACACCATTCAAAATTCTGACATCTGCCCTCTTCATCACCACATTTTCTTCCTCTGGTGAAACCATGCTTTTTCTTCATTTCTTCCTCTACTTGGGAAGCAATATTGGGAAAAGAAATCCCCTACCGCTCTTGTTTGCAGGCTTGAAAATATGTCTTTTCAATGGAAAGGCATTTTTCCAAGCGAAGAAATAACTGTGCACTTGCTTCTTTTCCTCATGAGCTAATTTCCTGACTGAAAAAACACAACTGAAAAATGTAAATGACTATTTCTTAGGCTTTTTAAAAAGTGTGTCCTTCTAAAATATGTATTAATTGTTAAGTGCACTTGTACTGCAGCTTTTAAAAAATGAATACAGTGCCCAACAGGCACCAGACTGATTTCATATGTCTCCAGAAAAGGTCACACCTACAGGACATCTCCATCCATTTGACCGGCTAATGCTCTTGGGTAGCACAGCCAGGATCTTGCTGTTCTCCCATGTACGGCTGCGATGAGGGAAGCAATGATGCTAAAGTTCAGAGATTAGTACAAAAGCTTTGGTGTCCTTGCTTCCCTCCACCCATTTCTTTGCAGCCTACTATTTAACAGGTAAATAACACCTTCTCTGGGAACAGGTTGTCTTCCTTCCAGTTTGTTTGGGCAGTGCCTAGCACAAAGAGCCTGACTGCATTTGCTAGGTGCTAAATAAATAATGTTAATAATGGCCAACAGTATCACCAACCCTTCTGTCAACAGTGTAAAGCACTCCACAGGCAGGTGCTGCTCTGGTATGAAGATAGAAGTAGTGGGATTATTCCCAAAGTCCACGTGGAGAGTTTGTTGAGGGAAAACTAGGTGACCTTTATAAATGCGTGGTTTTGGATGAAAATAGTTGCATTTCTTACTTTTTCCTTTAAATAAAGGAGAAAAATGGAAGAGGTTGTAATTATTAGTTTTTGCGTTTGGCAGTGTTACCATCATGACTGACTTCTCTACTGTGAGGGTGACTGAGCACCGGCACAGGTTACTCAGACTTGTAGGGTCTCCACCCTTGGAGATACTCAAAACCCAACTGGATGTGGCCCCAAGCAACCCACAGTGGCCGACCCTGCTCTGAGCATGGGCTGGAATAGATGGTCTCCAGAGGCGCCTCCAGCCTCAACCATTCTGTGACTCTTAGAGCCTGAAGCTGGGCACCTCTTGCCTAGAACACGCTTTATGAGCTGTGCTCCCCAGATGGACACTTCCTATGGGATACTGCAGCCAGAAACTCCCACAAGGACCCCTAAGGAGGGGAGATGGTGTTCATCTCCAGGTCCAAGCCACCCAGGTCCCTGGGACACAGGGTGTGGCCATGCAAGAGGAGGCACTCTGAAGCATCATGGTGACCGTTGGCAGGTTTCAGGTTTTTGACGAAAATCTTTGGGCACGTTTTTTTTCTTTACAGCTTTGTATGCTCTGAGTCAATCAGTTATCAGTGCTGGCATTTTTTTCCTTCCTTGGAAAACCAACAACAAAACCAACCACAGTATTTTTTTCTTGCCAGCTCCAAGCAGCAGCCTGCCTGCTGCTAGAAACCAGAGTGGTGTGGAGTGACAGATACATCTTCCTTTGTGTTGACACCCCTTTCTTCAGCATCATTAAAAGGAAAATGAACTGAAAATACATTCAAAGATACAAATCACTGCAGTCTCTTAGATCTGAGATGGGAGAGGAGCCCTGCTGAGAAATCCCATGTGAAGCCCGACGCTGTCTCTGTTTTCCCTAGGCCTGATATATTGATGGAGGGAGAGACAGGCAGGGAAGCTCCTGCAGCATTTTTGTTCATTTTTGGCCTTGCTGCTGAATCTGTAGGACCAGTGCCAAGTTGCTGCCAGCAGTGTGCATGGGTGACCACGGGTGGACTATTAGCTGGCTGTTGTGGTTTAACCTCAGTCGGCAACTGAGCACCACACAGCCGCTCGCTCACTCCACTCCCCCCCCTCGGTGGTGGGATGGGGGAGAGAATTGGAAAAGTAGAAGTGCCCCCCCGCCTCGCGGTGGGATGGGGGAGAGAATTGGAAGAGTAGAAGTGAGAAAACTCATGGGTTGAGATAAAAACATTTTAATACTTGAAATAAAATAAAATACTAATAAATATTATGCCTTTCTTGGGAAGGGAATCATTCTTCTTCCGGGTCACTTAAT